TAAAAAAAAAAAAATTTAATCTCAGTAGCCACATGCATCTAATGTCTACAATATGAATAGTCCTAGGAAGATTAATTGGCAGAAGGAAGATAGTTGAGTGTCCCCCAAAACAATAAAGAATGGATGGATAGCCAGATGTAGTGGCCCATTCCTATAATCCCACCTACTCTTGAGGCTGACAGGAAGATTGCAAACTCAAGACCGCCTTAGCAGATTAGAAAGGCCCTAAGCAATTTAACAAGACCCTATCTCAAAAATTAAAAAAAGGGGCCTGGGGCTGTAGCTGAGTAGTAGAGCACTTGCCTTGCAGGTGTGAGATCCTGGGTTCCATCCTCAATACCACATAAAAATAAATAAAGATAAAAAAATAAAAGTAAATTTTTAAAAAGGGCTATGGATGTGGCTCAGTGGTATAACACCCCTGGGTTCAATCTTCAGTACCAAAAAAAAAAAAAAATGTTTGAGAATGGAAAACTAGAGCTGAGAGATAGCTCAAAATTAGAGTACTTGCTTAACATGTACCTGGCTTTGATCCCCAGGCCCACACACAGAAGTGAATAGGAGCTAGTGTGGTACCTCATGCAACTTTTCACTGTGCTGGGATTTGTTTTCCCCATGTTTATTTCCATTTTCTCTCTTCCTTCACTCCAAGTCTCAATTGATTAGGTTTAGTCTGATAAATCTCTGAAGATCTGTTAAGTTGTTGTTTGCAAGTTTGGATTCTTTTAGGTGTTGAGAACACTTAGCATCCTTTGATTTGGCAGGAATAAGATTAATAAACTCTGGTGCTAGCTGCATAAGCTGGTAGTGAGGACTGAATTTATGCTTAGTTTTTGTTTTTTTCCCCCTTTCAGATATGTTTTCTAATATTTGTATTCCTTAAGTGCTACACAGAATCTGAATAGTATTTTGTTAAATTTTAAGTGAAACTTTACATGCATAACAGACAATTCTGTTCTAAGAGAAAATTTGGAATCTCCATTGATTCACTGAAACTGTTTTCACACATTTTGGTTCTTTAATAATATTTTTGTGATTTTTTTTTTTAAGAGAGAGTGAGAGAGGGGGACAGAGAGAGACAGAGAATTTTAACATTTATTTATTTTTTCTTAGTTCTTGGCGGACACAACATCTTCATTTGTATGTGGTGCTGAGGATCTAACCCGGGCCGCACACATGCTAGGCCAGCGCGCTACCGCTTGAGCCATATCCCCAGCCCTATTTTTGTGATTTTGATGACTAAAATCAATCAAGATTTAAGAGTTTATCCTTAAAAAAAGAAAAAAAAGTTTATTCTGTCCACATAGAGATAGAGCAAACAGTGATTCTTCATTTAGAACAAAGTACATAAGGCCTTTCAAAGAACTGGTATTATTAATAACAGTAGTGTCTAACCTATCTTTTTACTTAGGACTTTTAAGTAAAATAAGCAAAAACCTCAGCTTAGGCCATCATAGTTTGTAATAAGTTATATTGGAGGATAGCAATAAATGGATTCTGACAAATTTACCTCTCATTTACCATTGGAAAATCAATTAAGCTATCCTTTTATATCTTCCTTGAGTAAATATCTTTCCAGATGTTTCTTCATGGCATTGCCATTATTATTATTATTTTTTAACCTGCATGAACTAGAATATTCAGCCTCTTTCCTAACCCCAATGCTGGGGATTTAACCCAGGGGGACTCTACCACTGAACTACACCTCCTACACCCCCATCTTTTTTATTTTATATTTTGAGGCAGGTTCTTACTGAGTTGCTAAGGCTGGCTTAGAGCTTGTGATCCTTTTCCTCAGCAGCAGGATTATAGGCATGCACCACTATACCGGGTTAAAATGTCCTCTTATTTTCAGAAATGGGCAGTTCTCCATGATTCTTCATTGAGGTAGTTTAAAATCTCTCTAATTTTTTTTTTAAAGAGAGAGAGAGAGAATTTTAATATTTATTTTTTAGTTATCAGTGGACACAACAAGATGTTTGTATGTGGTGCTGAGGATCAAACCCGAGCCGCATGCATGCCAGGCAAGCACGCTACCGCTTGAGCCACATCCCCAGCCCTAAAATCTCTCTAATTTTATTTCTTCTTAAAGTTACTTGTTATCCATGATCATGGTTTTTCCATTAGGGATTGAACCCAGTGATGCTTTGCTAATGAACTACATCCCCAGCTCTTTTATTTTTGTTTTGAGATGGCCTAACCAAGTTGCCAGAGCTGGCATCAAACTTGAAATCCTCCCAAGTTCAGCCTCCCAAGTCACTGGGGTTCAGGCATGTGCCACCAGGCCTGGCATGCCTCCTTTTTTATCTTTTTTATTTTTTTTTTTTCGTGGTGATACTGGGGATTGAACCCAGGGCCCTAGGCATGTGAGGCAAGCATTCTACCAATTGAGCTATATCTCCAGCCCCCTCCTTTTTATCTTAACACAGTCACTTGCAAGGCTTCTAACCATTATCACTAGTGAAGATACTGTAGAGTGCTTGTAAGGATTTTTGCATTGGACTTTCAGGAAGAAAAAGTATTTCATCATTTTCAAAGTGGAACGTACTAGCCATTTATTTGTCTTTCACAGAACAAAACTAAAGAACCAAGAATATGAAACTTTAGATCATTTGGAGTGTGATCTGAATTTAATGTTTGAAAATGCCAAGCGCTATAATGTTCCCAATTCAGCCATCTATAAACGAGTTCTAAAATTGCAGCAAGTCATGCAGGTATGATTTCTTAGTTTTGCTAAATTTGTTGTATGTATCATCAAAATAGTATTACGTTTATTGAGTGTGTTCTTTTAAGGTGAATGATTTCCCCCAACATTATCAAGCCATTCATTTCAACCACAGTACTGCTAACTATTATTTTAGAATTGTTACGACCATTTTGAGGAGAAGTAATAATTTAGAAAGGAGTAAGCTTCATGAATAGAGGAATCTCCTGAGTAATTTTAGGATTGTAGGGAAATTACCCTTTAATCCTAGATGACATTCTGTCATTTAGGTTTTATTTTTTTGGTTCTAGACTTTTTCTCTGTTAAGATGGGACTAGTCTATAAGAAAAGGCATCTGAAAGGTAATTATTCATTGTATAAGGTCCCAAGAGTTTTAACAGATCCTCCCTGAAAGTACACCTTTGATGGTATCTGAAGTCACTGGCCATCTAGGGGTTTTAAGACAAAATAGTAGATTAGAAACTGAATTTATCTCACAGTTTTTGGTAGAATCTTTTTTAGAAAGATAATCTTAACACAAGGAAGCAACTAAAGCACCCATAGGTTCTCTTCATTTTGTATAATCAATATTGCACTTCTTAGTGTTGTGAATGTCAGGCGTTTGTTCCGCAGTACTGTGTGTGTGTATGTGTATATTTCCCATGCCTGTTGTGGTAGGACTTTCATCTTTCTTTGGCAAAAAATCTTTAAAAATGCATGTGTTGAAAAATAGATCTCTTTTCACCTTTCAAAGATTCAACTTTTTTCTTTTTTTCTTTTTTTTTTTAAATTATACTAGCCAATAGCAATTTTTTTAAGAGAGAGTGAGAGAGAGAGAATTTTTAATATTTATTTTTTAGTTATTGGCGGACACAACATCTTTGTATGTGGTGCTGAGGATCGAACCCAGGCCACACGCATGCCAGGCGAGCGCGCTACCGCTTGAGCCACATCCCCAGCCCTCAACTTTTTTCTTAACTTCACTGTCTCTTTAGAAGTCATGGGTGCCAGAGATCACCTTCGAGTTGGCCACCAAAACAAGATGTCCTACAACTTGCCTTAGTGCTTTTAACCAGTTAAATCCTTTTGTAGTCTTAAATGCTGTAGCTAACATTGATTCTTTAACTCTCTGGATCCATTTTTTTAACCTACTTTTCTGTCATGTAGGCTTTTGTTAAACTGGGTTATTAAAAATATTTAATGAATCTTTAATTTTGTGTATGCTAGGTGGTGTTTTCTGAATGAATCTGACATGTCTAGCTCTTTAACATTCATATATTGCTACATGTGTTCAACAGAGTAAGTCTGACTCCTGAAACCTGCTTTGTTATAGACAAAGAAGAAAGAGCTTGCCAGAAGAGATGACATAGAGGATGGAGACAGCATGATCTCTTCAGCCACCTCTGATACTGGTAGTGCCAAAAGAAAAAGGTATATGATCTTCTCATAGCTAGAACTAACTCAGTTCCTGTTTATTTTAGATAAGTACAGAAAAAATATTTTTTTAAGTGGTGAAGTATTGATTATAAGTTTGAAATATTTGATAACATCTTTTGGAATTCATTTATAAATTGGATAATTAGTTGTTATTATTTTTCTTTAAGTACCACATTGCTTTTAGATGACACAGGGGAAAAAAAGATACCTACATATGCACTTTGGCAAACATGTAATTTTTACTATCCAGATAAAGATAGTAAGATGGCTTTTTAAGATTGCCACTTAAATCTAATTTAGGTAATTTCTACATAGTGAATTACAAAGATGTAATATGAATTAGGAAAGGTAAGGAGAATTCAGTTCTACCGCTACAGTGAAGTAAGTCATTGCTCCTTACCTTTTATTTTTCCTTTTTAGTTTGATCTTTATTTGTGATTTTAAGAATGTCAGATTGTGTAAAACCATCATAACTTCTTATAGTTCGTAAAATGTTAAGCTAGATATTTGGATGTTTTTTGGTTTTCTTCTTAATCTTTCTTTCAACTTCCCTAACCCTTTCTTCCTCTCATGGGTTTTGTGGAAGGGGATCTTATTGTGAGATTCTGAAACTGGGCTCCTATAAGGAATCATGCACATGGAGTTTCTGTGGCCTGATTATTGTGGAACACTGTAGTCTTCTTTAAACCCTACTGCCTTACAGTCTTTGCAGCAGCAGTGAGTCTAGGGAGGGTACCTTAAACAAGGAATAAGCTACTCTGATAGCAGGGCTTGACAGAGTCAAAACTGAATGAAGAAGTTATTAGTAGCTGTAGACACAGTTCCATACATACATTAAAAGATCTGCTAAGATCAGAAGATTTTAAAAAGTGGTTTAGAAAATAGAAGCTATCCTGTCTTTCCCTCTTTTAAAGGACATTTGGGAAAATTTTTTTAGCTCTGAAAATGACTTTGCAATGCTATGCCGTGGTAACTAAATTGAGTGGTATGCCCTGAGATGTGAGTCTCCTCCGTCACTAGCCTATGAATTTCATCCTTCCAAGTTCTTAATTCCTTGTTATACCAGGGACTACGGAGGAAAAATGTGAAACCAGATCAGAGACATCAAATCAAGAACATCTTTGAGTGTAATTATATAACTCTACTTCAGCATCACCTGTGTTTTCCAGATCAGTCACCAATCAAAGATAAAAACTTCTCAGGCAAAAGAAGGTAATGGAGGCAAAAGTGATGATACAGTTAGTGCCAGCACTGGATGAAAAGAGAGCTCTTAAGTAGTTGAGTGTTAAGAGAAGAGTTCCAAGGAAGCATAAACCCAAGCCAGTCTTTAAAAATTACGTCTCTGTGGCTTGTAGTTTGTGGGACACCCAAGTAGATGAAATGAAAATTATTGCCCTAAAACCTCCTGTAAAAAACAAACTTAAGCATTATGTTATTACAATTATGAACTCCCTTGGCAGGGTGTGGTGGAACACACCTATAATCCCAACTTCTTGGGAGGCTGAGGCAGGAGGTTTTTCAAGTTTGAGGCTAGCCTCAGCAATTTATCAAGACCCTGTCTTAAAATTAAAAAATAAAAAAAGGGCTGGGGATATAGCTCAGCGTTGAAGCACCCTGGGTTCAATCCTCAGTACCATCACCAAAAAAAAAAAAGATTCCATTTCAGACAAAAAGTTTCTATATGAACAGGTTTTCTAGGAAGTATATTTTGTATGACAAAGTGAAAGAAATAAGAGAACAACTATAATTCATCTACCAAAGCAGTGAAAGAACAAACTTGGGTTTAAGATGAAAGCATGAATGTACCTTAAAAGATTGAGAGAATTAAGTCCTGTACTTTGGTCTGTAACAAAGGAAATAAAATGATGAGTCTTTCAGAATGTAGTTATGTTGAGAGGCTTTGGTAATAAGAAATAGACTTCTCCAGAAGTCAGGCAAACTGTAGCCTCGAAGGTTGAGTTAAGCTTGGCCAGAGAACTCAGGGCCTACTTTTGCAACTTGACTCCTAAGTATTGTGTATGATTCTATCTTTGCCTTTTTTTTTCTTTTTTAATACCAAAGAGTGAAAAAAAATGATTATGGGTGTGTTCTCTTTATTCTGGGAGTGCATTCTTCTCCCACTCCCCATTCCTCTTCCTAAAAATCTATTTTCTGTCTTCCATGTTAAAATGTTCCAAATATTAAGATCTTTTATGCTTTGGACTGAATAATCCTCTTTTTCTCAACCATATTTGGTTTGTGCATGACCCTCCAATGTTGCTTGTTTTATTTCTCTACACATGTAATGTTTATTTCTGCTTTCCCAGGAACACTCATGACAGTGAGATGTTGGGTCTCAGGAGGCTATCCAGGTGTGCAGTCCTTTTTTATGTGTAAAAATATTTTTAAAAGTATAATTCTTCTGTGTCATGGTCAGTATTAAAGGTGAAAAGTGAAGCCTTAAGCATGTAACAAAAGTGTTTGGGGTGCTAGTTTATTTTACAAATACAGAAAGAAACACTGTCTAGAAGTCTAATAAATGAGATGAGAATTGGCTAACCTAGATATGTTCAATACTAGCCTTAATTTGTTGCTGGCTTTGCCAGGGCCAAAAGTCCTCCTCACCAATCATTGTGCTACAGTAAAAGGTAGAGATTGCTAATACGTACCGTGGCATTATTTGTAACAGGGACTGACTGGTGCTGATGAAAGGGTTCAGGGACATTTTTTAGTGATTGGGAGTGGTGGAGGGATCAAAATTACAAAATTAACAATGATAATCCAGATGAAGTCGGTGCATGTGGGCACTTGTGCATTGGGCTAATGCTTCTTAAGCATGGATACATTTTCTCAGTCTCTGATCTGTCCATGTCTTATTTCTTTAAAACTCTCCATTCCTTTGCATGATACTTATGATTTTAAAGTCTATGAATTGCCATTTCACGTTGCTAATGATAATCGTGTAGTGCTTTTGTTTTCATGTTTGCCATCTGATATTCAGTGTCATTTGCTTTCAGAACACCAGACCCTGCTGTTACAGATCATAAAGGAGAACATTTAGTCATTTCTTTTACTTGCCAGGGATTTAGTGGCCAGGGAAGGAGACAGGTTGAAAACAACTGAATGGAATCAGCATAGTAAAAGAACTGTATAGTGCATACAACTATGTAGGTATACTTTTTAAAATGTCCTGATTGCCTAGATAGTTTTAGGAAAGTTATTTCCCCACCTTGTTTTTCCTTGAAAGCTAACTGTTCTAAAGTTGCCTACATGTTACTGCCATATGTAATCCATTTTACATATCTACATATGCATATACCACTCAGGATTTTCCCTAAGAAATTTTTTTTATGAGATGATAAATTTTAAAAAATACCAAAGGCTCTATTCTTTTGTATCATTCATAATATGTGGCACCAAGCTCTAGGAGTTATTGGAAGTAGAAATAGGGGACCTCATGGGATGGTGTTATGAACCAAGCTCTAGAGACCAAGTGCCTAAATTCAAATACCAGCTGTTCTTATTAGCTCTGGAATATAAGCCTCATTTCAACTTCCTTACTTGAAAAAGGAGTTGTGACAATCCCAATATAGGATTGCTGTGAGGACTCAGTTGTAAAGCTGAGTTAATATGTGTAAAACTTACAACTGGGCCTATATGAAGTGAGTTCTTAGTAAATATAGGTTTGTTTTTGGAAGTTGTGCCTGTTGATATTAGGACACAGTAGATTTCATTTTGTTCTTTTCCAAATCTCATTGGAAAATGTGAATGAAACGTTTTGTTCTAAAGCCTTGACTACTTTAGAATGAATTTCTGTATGCTTTATAAAAGAACTAAACTGTGGCCAGGCATGATGGTGCATTCCAGCTACTTGGGAGGCTGAGGCAAAAGTATCAAAAGTTCAAAGCCAGCCTTGACAACTTAGCAAGACCCTTTCTCCAAAAACAAAAATGTCTGAGGATATAGCTCAGTGGTAGATTGCTTGCCTACCATGCATGAACCCCTGCATTCAATTTCAAATATTGCAAAAAAGAACCTTTGATTTACTTAGTTTAACAAGCACCACTGACACTCTCAAGCCAGGGAGTTAAGTGCCAGGAGACTTTGAAGCCTGTTGGTTAAATGTGATTAATGAGGCTTTTAGTGCCAACCAGCTTTTGGGAAAGTGAGGGACATGATGAAAGCCACATATTATCTGATTGAAGTGTTCTGATTATTCACTTTGTGGCCTTATTCATTTGGTCTCTAGGTCTCAGTTTTTACTTCTACATAGTTAATAATTAATTGTACCTGAATCTCAGAGTTTGAGGCTTAAATTACAGTACATAGTAGATAGAAGTGATAATTGTTTTAACTGTAAATTGAGTACATATAAAAATAATAGCTTCAGAGAAAGAATGATGGTAAGGAAATTTGAGAAAGTGGTCAGTTACAAAGATTAGGGTTGAGACTAAAACATGTATGAACAGTTGAAAGAATATCAGATCTAGAAGGTCTGTGAAGTCTTCTGGAAATTGTTGATAAGCTGAGAAGAGCAAAAATGGTTATGATTCTGATGTTTCAGATTGGGTTGGGTTCAGGAGGATTGTGTTGATCCTAGAAAATAAGGAATTCAGAACAGAGCCCCTACTAGCACATAATCTTTGTACAAATTAGAAAACGCACCAATTTCATAAGACGCTTTTCTTTCATATATCTGAAATTTGCTATAATACACTGGTTTTGTTAGGATAGGACTCTTTATGGCCCATCTGTAAAATTCTAAAATTGTATATATATATATTACAACAGTATCTGTTATCTCTAACTTAGTATTCTCTTAAATATGACCCCTTCCTTGAGTGCACAATAATTAACAGCCTTGGTTTTGGATTCCCTTGAGATAAATTTTACTTTCTATGTTCAAAGATGCTGATATATATTTTTTTAAAAAAATGATTGTGCAAGTTACAGGGTGTGGCATTTAATTTTATGTTCTTTTCCCAAAATGGAGAAGCAGTCATAGTTAAGGAATTGAAGGCAGTGAAGTAGGATGTATACAGGGGTTCTAAGAAGAATCTGAAAAGCCAAGTGACATTGAAAACAGTAGCTAGAAAGTATCAAATAATGGACTATGATAGCTTTTTATAATGTAGAGTTTTTCTTATTCAAAAAGTAAGAGCCAATGCAATGGTGCACACCTGTAAGGAGGCTTAGGCAAGAGCATCACAAGTTCGAAGCTAGGTCCAGCAATTTAGTGACACCCTACACAACTTAGCAAGACCCTGTTGCAGAACTGAAAAGCGAGGGCAGTGTGTGTGTGTGTGTGTGTGTGTGTGTGTGTTTGTGTGCTGGGGATGTTGCTCAGTGGTTAAGTGCCCCTGGATTCAATCTCTGGTTAATAAAAAAAAAAGTATTTGAAGATTTCAGAATTCATGGATATGATAAGGTTCAGTGTCCTTATTAGAAAGAGATAAACATATCAGCCAGCCAGGCTAATACAGATGTTAAACAGTATGAAGTTTATCTCTTAGTTTTTTCTGGCAGCCAAATTAAAATTAGTGGACCATGGTTCTCAGTCTCAATATAAGGATCTGGGAAAAGGTAAAGAAAATAAAAAACCTGAATTTGTTCAAAGAAGATTATAAAGACCCTAGTAATAGAGAAGTTTTGTTTGCCTTTGAGGATGGAAACAATTAGATATCACTCTCTAGAGTAAATGATACAAATGGAGAAAGGATACTATAATAAATTATAGTTATCAGAAAAATTTCTCATATACAACTAGATTTTACATCCTGGGTATATTTCATTCAGAACTGTCTGGTGGTGTCAAGAATTACTGGCACTGGAAAAATTGACTTGCCCTTCTTTTACTTTGCTGGCAAATTTCAAGTAAAAACTTTCCTTCTCTTTAAAAATCTTTTTAAAAATCTGCCCTAGATTCAGTCCCACACCAGAGTATTTGTAGCTTCATACAGAAAAATTCTTGGGAGTGATATGCTGCGGCAGTAGAGCTGATTTCCTCCTAGATCGGGGTCAGGGCCTTGACTGTTAGGCTGCCTGGAATTCTGGTAATGAGGACTGTTTTCATTCTGGATCAATTGAGATTTTTTTTAAGCTCAGGGCTTCAAATTGAGTTCTGGTGTCTTTGGTTTGGTTTGGTTTGGTTTGGTTTGGTTTTGGTTTTAGTTTTGGTTTTGTGATGCTAGGGATCATACTCAGAGTCTTGCAATATGCTAGGCAAGGGCTCTACCACTGAGCCTTAGCCAAAAGCCCTTTGTGTCTTCCTTTTAAAATTAGCCCCATACAGCCAAGCATGGGGGCACATGCCTGTAATCCCAGCAGCTTGGGAGACTGAAGCAGAAGGATCGCAAGTTCAAAGCCAATCCCGGCAATTTAGTGAGACCCTGTCTCAAACTAAAAATAAGAATAAAAAGGGCTGGAACTCAGTGGTAAAGTGCCTCTGGGTTCCATAACTAGTACCAAAAAATTAACCCACACATGTGAAACCTAAATAAACCATATCTGATCTGAATGGTTTAGGTATGAATTTCTGTGATATCAAACTCAAGTTCTGAGATTTTCCTTCAAAGACTTCCTGAAGGTTAAAGTCATCTGCATTCTAATCTGTGCCCAGATGTGGAACTGTGCCCTATTGAAGCTTTGTTCCAATTCTGTCCCAATATCCACTTGCCAAAGACCTAGAATTAGAGAACTCTTCCTCTCATATCATCACTCCAGGATGTCTCTTTGGAGAAATGATACCCACCAGATGAAAAATCTTCTAGATTATCTAATAAATACTCACTGTACACAGAGAAAAAAGAATGGGGGGGGGGGAATGACACATTGGCAGGAATGATCCCAGGTCCACAAAGGAAAGCTATCAGAGTTAAAATTAAGCAAGTTGTGGGCTGAGATTGTGGCTCAGCGGTAGAGTGCATGTCTAGCATGTGCGGGGTGTTGGGTTCAATTCTCAGCACATAAAAATAAAAATAAAGGTATGTTTAAAAAAAGAAAAAAGATTAAGCAAGTGATGAGAATGATCCCAACCCTAGGAAACAGGCTCTTTTCTTTTTTTAGATCACTTTCTATTTGCCTTAAGCTCCATGATGCTAAGAAAATAGGCTGATTTAGGATATCTATTTTCTTAACTTTTGTTCTTTATTTGAATTCTGTTTCTGTGTTTGAAAAACGTATCTTGGAGAGAAAGTATCTTTGGCTTGTTCATTAACAAGCAAACTAAAAACAAAGTTATAGGACTGGACTAAGAGGCCCATGCAGCCATATAGTTTGTTTCAGGAATGAACTATTTTTCCCTTGCAGGATAGGAAACAGATAAAACATAGTTACATCTAAGTGCTATGTTATAGGAGCTTAGGAGTGTTTGCTGAATAGGAACTAAGTCAGAAGTCATTTCTTGATTTTACCTATCCAACTGTTCTCTTGGAAACTACTGGTTAGAGTCTGGCTAGAAGTTCTTTCCCACTGTCCTGAAGACAAGAACGTTAAGCAAAAGTGATAGTGAAAGATCATTTCTTCTAATAATTCACTGAGCACCTCACCTTGCACAAGTCATTTAGCCTCTCTGAGCCAGTTTTCCATAGGACATGAGACCATTTGCCATCCTGGACCCCTTTTGAATCTGGGGCCCTTGTACTTTGTTCCATATATCAATTTCTCAGTATTGCACTTCACTTAGGGAATTTGGAGAACCAAATGGGAATTCATGCTCAAAGATGAAAATTTACTCTATAGAGGGTTTAGATGAACCAGTATCTAGACTTTCTTCCTTAAGTTAGGATGGGATTGTACAGCAGTGCTGATCAGAGAAAGAGAGGAGACTGATCCTGGCATGATCAATTTAAGGAAGACTTGAACCCACTATAGATACTAACCAGGCAGACAATCTTCTTTTTTTCTGGCAACCAGAATATACTATTGTTCAGAGTGGTTATCCTGAAAGAAAGAACACTTCTCTTTATTAGTTTTTTGTTTTGTTTTTGTTTATTGTGCTTGGAAGTGAAGCTGTTAATAACAATAGAAAATAACTAGCTTTATTTCACTTTGGCTCTGTTTTGTTTTTAAAATGTATTTTGATTGATTTTAGAATTATATTTATTTTGGTGTTAGTCAAGTTTGTTTGTTTTTCAAACATTGCATTTCATGAGATATTCTAAACAGGTTTGTCTGGTGTTCACTGGTTGATCCAGCCAGGGTTACTATGTTTTAACTGTTTTGGAAATTTTCCCTCTATTTGCTTATAGCTTCCAGCATGTTTACTGTGTTTGTGGCATATGTAATAAATAAATTGTAATCATTAAAAAGCACCTTCCCACAAGATTAATTTGTTTTATTTCATGTTCATCTCTTGTATAAAGAAAACTGAACCTGTTGTCATTTTTCCCTTCTTCTACCTCCCCACTCAACAGTAAAAAGAACATAAGAAAACAGCGAATGAAAATCTTATTCAATGTTGTTCTTGAAGCTCGAGAGCCAGGTTCAGGCAGAAGACTTTGTGATCTATTTATGGTTAAACCGTCCAAGAAGGACTATCCTGATTATTATAAAATCATCTTAGAGCCAATGGATTTGAAAATAATTGAGCATAATATCCGCAATGACAAATATGCAGGTGAAGAGGGAATGATAGAAGACATGAAGCTGATGTTCAGGAATGCGAGGCACTACAATGAAGAGGGCTCCCAGGTGAGAACAGGTGGGGTTCTGAAGTAGACACATTTTCTTTTGGGTGCTGGTAGAATAATGCATTTTGAGAGACCAGCTCTAGGCTTAACCTAGTTTATTCTTAGTGGATAAATAAATAGTTTGTCTTCTCATAATTGTTTAAAATGAGAGACAGTACAATACAAAGATTAAAACTTCATACTTTGTAAGCTGGCATCCTAGATTTGAATCCTGCTTTGCCAGTCCCTGTGTGAGAAACTTATCCTCCTGGGCCTCTGATTTCTTGTCTATAATTTTGGAATGATTATAATACTTGCACCAGGGTTATTATAAGATTTATAAGAGATAATGTATATTGAGCATTTAGAAGACTGCTTGAATCTGAATAATTTTTCATCATTTTTGGGGGGGAGTGGGAGGTGTTAGAGATTGAACCCAGGGCCTTGAGCACATGCTCCACTACCAAACTGCATCCCTAGGTGCATCATTATTATTACTATCCTCAACAGCCATACTTCTGTAAAGACAACCCATGGAATTACACAGTTATGTGAGAGTCAGTGTGATGCTTCCATAAAAGCACCTCTAAATCATTGATTTGGATACAAAACATCTTGATGTTTTGTTTTGTTGCTGGTCTTTGTGTATGCTACCTAGGCATGTGCTCTACCACCAAGCTATATCCGAAGCCCATGATTTTCAGTTCTTTATCAGTATAGGTAAGGCACAATCTTCCCTCTCTGATATTTTTTCTGTTTCATATCTTTTATACACTTTAAATCTCCCAGAAACAAAATAATATTTCAAACCATTTTTTTTCCTTCTTCTGTTACATTTGAATATAAAATAAAATATGTGCTGGGGATACTGATAGATGAAAGAAATGGTTCCTTCTATAGTAGGGGTTTAAACTATATCACTGACTATTATACCATGTATCACTGATGGGAATAAAAGCTATCCCTTAGTGAGGTAGCCAAAGAAGAGAGGTCACTTAATTGCTCAGCTGCTTTGCTCTGATGGGTAGTTAAGGGAGGACATAGCCTCTCCTGAGAAAGAAGGCGGCAGCTATGGGGCAAGGCCATTAGGTAAATAACCTTGTTGTTCTTCAGTACATATTACAAACCTTAGCTCAGTCTTTAAAGAGAAATCTCTAAGCAGAGGTTTGTTTGTTTTTTTAAATATTAGATTCCAGATGTTGAATTCAGATTTGGGATTTAACAATAGTTTAGACACTTTTCTCCAAACATCAGGTTCTTTTAATTTTTTTAAAAAATTTTGTTATGCACTGTTGGGGATTGAACCCAGGAGTTCTATACAACTGAGCTACATTCCCAATCCTTTTTATTTTATTGTGAGACAGGGTCTGGATATATTGCCCAGGCTGGCCTTGAAATTGGGATCCTTCTGCCTCAGCCTCCCAAGTAACTGGGATTACAAGTGTGTGCCACCATACCCAGATCCCATGAAATATTTTTAATCTTTAGTTTCCATTGGACTAAGTCCATTACCTTGAAAATCTAGTAGAAAAGAGATCTTTGAAAAAAAACACACATGTAAATGTGTTTTGAAACTTCTGGAAAACACTGCAGGGTTTCTACTACAGTGGCTCTCAATCATTAGCATGTGTGTCTATACATTAGAATCACTTAGGAAGCTTAAAAACATACAAATTATTGTGTAGGCCCTTAACTCCCACCTGTCCTAAACCATATTTTTAAAATTTCCTTACAGCTGTATATTATACCTTGATAAAACTTTTTTTAGAAAATAAGTATGTTTTCGAACCCTAGGTATACAATGATGCCCATATCCTGGAGAAGTTACTCAAGGATAAAAGGAAAGAGCTGGGGCCGCTGCCTGATGATGATGACATCACATCTCCCAAACTCAAACTGAGTAAGGCATCCTCACTCTTTGTTATTTAGTGTAGCCTTTCAACAGGAAATTGCTGGTTTTCTGAAATAATATTTAATTAAATGGTGGATATATTTCAACTCAGTGGCACTCCAGCATGAAGTTTCTTCCCTCTTCTCAAGTAGTCTTATTTTACCATGTTTTAAGTAAGGATAAATATTTTTTTCTGTTTCTAATACCTGGAAGAATATGGTGGCAGGTTTTTTGTTTGTTTGTGATTCCTAGAATTAGCAATGAGTTCCACCATTTCCTACTGGACAGAAATTGAAATTAGAGATGTACTACTCAGCTCTCAGTTAACTGCACTCTATGCCTGGTGGTTTTATTTGAAAGTTGTAAGGGAAAAGAAGAGACAGCAAAAGTAATTAATGCCATTAAAAAGATTTTTGCCGTACTTAAAAATAAATAAATAAATAAAATAAATACCAAACAAATAATAGTGATATTATCAGATATTCTTTAGAGCCATCTTTACTGAAAAAGAAGAAAGCAAGAATCTGTTTTTGTTTTTTTGTTTGTTGGTTTTTTTTTTTTTTTTAATGTGAAATGACTACAAACTGAATTTCACAGTTGCTTTGGGAATTATTTACTGCTAAGTGACGGTTCTTTTTAAAATTTTTTTATTTTTGGTACTGAGGATTTAACCAGTGGGCAATTTATCATGAATCTACATCTCCAGCCCTTTTTATTATTTGAGACAGGGTCTCACTAAGTTGCTGAGGATGGCAATCCTCCTGTCTCTGCCTCCCAGGCCTCTGGAATTATAGGCGTGCACCACCATGCTGGGCAGTGATTCCTTTTGTTAAGGCATTTATCTTTTCTTGGAATTGTAAAAGCATACAGAAAATGTGCAGAAATTTAAAACTTATTTTACTTCGTAGGACCAAAATATCTTTTAAAACTAGAATTTGGCTGAGAATGTAGCTCAGTGGTAGTACATTTGCCTGACCTGTGTAGGACCCTGGGTTTGATACCCAGAACCAAAAAATAAAAACAAAAAAACTAGAATCGATTTCATAAATTGAGTTGGAAGGCTGATTAATGATCTTTTTATATATATATTTTTTAGTTGTCAACAGACCTTTGTTTTATTTATTTATATGTGGTACTGAGAATTGAACCCAGGGCCTCACATGTGCTAGGCAAATGCTCTACTACTGAGCCACAACCCCAGCCCCCGATTAATAATAGTTTAATATGTCTAAATATAAACAAAGATGTATGCATATCAAAGGGAAAGGGAATTTTAATGTAGAGTGTTAATTCTTTTTCCGTTGTGAAAATTTTAAACATACACAAATGTAAAGACTAGTACAATGAACCCTTGTATATACACCTGTTACTCATCATTTAACAAGATTGTACCACACTTATTTCCCCAATCCCTTATGTCTTTTTTTTCCTGAATTATTTTCAAGCAAATCAAATCATGTGTTGTTTTTACTTCTGTACACTTCAGCATATCTCTAAAATATGCAGACAGTTTTCTTAATCATGAAGACTTTATCACACCGAACAAAATTAGCAATAGTTTCTTGGTTTCACTTAATACTTCACAAATTTTTAAGTTTTACTGATTGTCTCAATGTATTTTTACAGTTGGTTTCCTCAAATCATCATCTAATTTAGATTTAATCATTCAGGGGTTTTTGTTTTGTTTTGCAATGCTGGGATTTGAAACCAGGGCCTCACACATGCTAAGCAAGTGCTCTACCACCAAGATTCTGCCTAAGCCCCCTATGTTTGATTGCTATGCCCTTAACCTCATAGTTTAGAACAGTCTCCTCTTTTCTTTTCTCATGCCATTGATGCACTGAAGAAACCAGGTCGCCTTGTACAGTGTCCCACATCATTTTGTTTCTGTGATATCATTTAACATTTTCCTTTATCCCCCCTCTATTTGTTATAAACAAAGGTTAACTTTTAAGCCCTGATTCTATTTAGTTACAGCTTGACATTTACTTTTGCATCATATCTGTTTGAGGTAGAAACCAAATAAGGCCCACATTGCATTTGACTAATATTTCTTTTTATCTATAAACTTTCACCTTTCCTTTTTATCTGTCAAAGAAATGGGATTTGTATTATAGTTTCCCACAGTCTGTATTTTGTTAGTTGTATCACTTTCTATTTTCTATACTTTAGTCATTAGAGCTTGAACGTATTTAGGCTCTCCTGTCCTCTCCCTTTGATACAAAAACCAACTTCATAGGTGATATATGTCAGGTGGCACATGATATCTGGTTGAGTCTTTCTATTAACAAATCTTGATGCTTGCTTCTTTAACTCATTAAAGAGGTATAAAATATTGACAGTTTTAACTTTCTTTTCTGTTTTTGTGGTACTAGAGATTAAAACCAGGAGCACTGTACTACTGAACTACATCCCTATCCCTTCCTGAGTCAGGGTCCCTCTGAGTTGCAGAGACTGGCCTGGAATTGTGATCCTCCTGCCTCAGCATCCTGAGTCACTGGGCTTACAGATGTACACCACCATACTCAGCTTAATTTTATCCTTCCTTGCTCATTTAATAGGTGGACTACTTTTGCATAGAGAAACTTGCTTTATCCAATATTTGGCTACCCATTGGTACAGATTTTTGTTTGTTTTTGAAATGGTAAAAGCTTGATTTTTTTTAACAAGTTTTCAAAATAATACATTAGTTTATAAACATCCTCTAATATTTACCAATATTTTTTGTTTGTGTGTATCATTAAGAATTACTAGGTTAAAACATAATGTTGAGTTTTAACCCATTGTAATTGCCCTTATTTATGCTTAGCTTCTTTCAGGGTGGTGCCTATGTTCTTTTAACATGACCATGGTTAGAAGTTATTGATAAATTCTTTACTTCTGTGATTTGAAGATGTTCCAGACTGAGAATAAGCCATTTTTAAAATTCTAATCTTTTCTGTGTTTCTACTTAAAGGTCAGGGCTATTTTGACATTAGCATTTTAAAACTGTAGTTTGAGATTAGTGCTACTAAGTTGGTTATTGTTTGTAGGATTTTCAGTGTTTGGATATTTAAAGATAAAATATATTATAAACTCAATTGATACTTTCGGTTGAGATTCAGGCTATAAAGTTTTTATCAATGTGTCCCCTATTTTAACATCTATCTCTTTTTCCTGTGATGAAAATCTCAGTTCTCAGGGATTCTAGAGATGGGAAGTCACAATTAGATTAAATAGCTACTTATTTGCCTCATTCCACCTTATCCAGTTACCTCAACACAACAGTTTTATTTTCTCATCAAAAATATGATTATTGAACTGGGGTTGTAGTTCTGCAGTAGAGCGCTTGCCTAGCATATGTGAGGCCCTGGGTTCCATCTTCAGCACCACATATAAATAAATAAAATAAGGTATCATTATGTCCACCTACAACCAAAATATATACATATATATAAAACATTTTTTAAAAATATGATTACTGAATATAAATAAGATTTTCTTCAAGGTTTTTTTGTTGTTGTTTTATAAGTAATTTGGAATAGTTTCTTTCTTAGGGTTATACTAACAACTCCATACAAATATGCATTTATTTTTATTTTATGTATTTATATTATCTCTCTTCAGGTAGAAAGAGTGGTGTTTCTCCTAAAAAATCAAAATACATGACTCCAATGCAGCAGAAACTAAATGAAGTCTATGAAGCTGTAAAGAACTATACTGATAAAAGAGGTCGCCGCCTCAGTGCCATATTTCTGAGGCTTCCTTCCAGATCTGAGTTGCCTGACTACTATCTGACCATTAAAAAGCCCATGGACATGGAAAAAATTCGAAGTCATATGATGGCCAACAAGTACCAAGATATAGACTCTATGGTTGAGGACTTCGTCATGATGTTTAATAATGCCTGTACATACAATGAGCCTGAGTCTTTGATCTACAAAGATGCCCTTGTCCTACATAAAGTCCTGCTTGAAACTCGGAGAGACCTGGAGGGAGATGAGGACTCTCATGTCCCAAATGTGACCTTGCTGATTCAAGAGCTCATCCATAATCTTTTTGTGTCGGTCATGAGTCATCAGGATGATGAGGGACGATGCTACAGTGATTCCTTAGCAGAAATTCCTGGTGTGGATCCCACTTTTCCTAACAAACCTCCCCTTACTTTTGACATTATTAGGAAGAATGTTGAAAATAATCGCTACCGGCGGCTTGATTTATTTCAAGAGCATATGTTTGAAGTATTGGAAAGGGCAAGAAGGATGAATCGGTATGTTTTCAAAGCCATTTCTTTTGAAGATGTGTGGTATTTAATGCAAGACAGATAAAGGAATACTGTACTATTTCAGCTTAGGTACATGGTTATAGTTAATAGCATGCTATTCTGAATTCTAAGTAAGCCAAAACTTCAAAAGAGTAAGTATATTCTTTGAGGAGGAGAGGATACCCTACTGAGTTATCTAGATTAGAGTCAATGAGAGGATGGAAGACAGAATTGAAGATCTTGTGAAAAGCATATGGCCTTTCACAGAACACATTTCTTAAAGGACAAGTGCTTAGGAGTTGAAATAAGAATTAGAAATAGTAATAGGATTTTTCTTTTAAAGGTTTGTCTTCAAACAAAGAATTAAACAGCACCAAATTATTGTTTTGAGGTTAAACATATATAAATTTGGTTATCATTTAAGTACCCCAAAAAATGGCTTTTTTAAAAAAATTAATCTTGAAGATTTCTTAGAGAGCCTGCTATAGATATTAAATGCTTGTAAGAAAAACAGTCAATTTTAAATTTCATTCCAATTTTAGTCTGTGTTTTTTCTGTGTCAGCAGCTGTTCAATTCAATCAGTAATTACTGTGTATCTTCCCTGTAGTCTTTAAAGCACTTGGGAGAATATAAAATGTTAAAGATATAAACTCTGTCTTCTTGGAGTTTATAGACCTTTAGGTAGAGCTTTTAGCAGTCAGTGTCTTTACAACTGTGAAATTTGTGAAGCCAGCATTTGCTCTGAACTTTAAAAAAAAAAAAAAGTAATGTTCACTTTTCCTGTTGAGCACCTACTCTTTGGGAAACACCATATTAAGCATTCCCTGTGGATAATCTCTAACTCTAATTTCTAGTAGTCTTTCTAGGTAAGGGATCATATTCCTAGTTCACATGTGAAGATTTAGAGGCATGGGCAGAAAAATTGCCCAGAGTTGTACCCTAGTAGGTGGTGTGGCTTATCTTGTTTCTCACTGCAGAGGGCTGCTAGTGATAGTTACCAGTCATGAATAGTCAGTGGAGTGAGCCATGGATGATAAGCCTTGAGTTCTGTGTTCTAAAACTTTGAAGTCTGATGGATGAGACACGACTTTTGCTTAAGGAAAAAATATCTAGACGTGAGACAGCATATAACAACTGATTTAGAAAAGATGATGGGATAAGGAACTGTGGGCTAAAGTTCTCCAAAGAAGGAATAAGGCATCTGGGAGTGTAATGATGGCTGGAATTCAAATGAAAAGAGAAGTGGATTTTCAGATACAGTGAGTGGTTTGAACAAAAGTAAAGAAGGGTTAGGAAATGAATATGTTACATTTGAGAGACAGGAGTTAGGACTAGATTGGAGGGTCCCTTGAGTGATGTGTTTAGGAGTGGTCCTCATTCTTTTGACAATAGGGATAGACATGAAAGGGGGACATTCACATTTAAAATCTGAAGTAGTTTTTAACTCAACAAAGTTTTGTTGAGTAACTACCAGTTAATAAACATGTTTAAATGTTTTGGGTATATTAGTGGACCAAACAGATAAACCCTGCTTTCATGGAATATAGACTTCCATTTCTGCTCTCAGTTTATTTTAAGGAGTCATTAAGTCTAAAACCACTCTGCTCCATCCCTTTTTCCCTAAACTCATTTATATCATGGGATTAGTTCTGTGAGTCTTCTAAAGAGCATTTTTCTCCTAAATTATTAGGAATTCTGTTTAAATTGTATAGATAACATGTTTGTTTTAAGAATTAAGTGGACTTCTATCTCTAGGAATTGAGCTCTTTTCTTTCTCTAGTTGTTGACATGATTGGCTTTTGTTTTTAAGGACTAGAAGATAGATCCCAAGGTGCATCCCCTACTTCCTGCCCCCTTGAAGATTGAATCCAGGGACACTTATCCTCTGAGCTGCATCCCCAGGCCTTTTTATTTTTTATTTTGAGATAGAGTTTTGATAAGTTGCCCAGCCTTGCCTCAAACTTGCCCACCCCCCTGCCTCAGCCTTCTGAGTAACTGGGATCAAAGGCATGCAGCACCACACCTGGTTCTTATTTATATGAGATGGTAATACAGTTTCTGTCATACCCAAAGCTTGTGGAAAAACCTAAGGGATGCCATTTTTATATTTGTGAATGAAGATAATATTGTGACTGCTTATAGTACTTAATAAAAATTAAGAATAACCTAATGAGAATTGAGAGTCAGGTGCCATGGCACACCTGGAATACCAGCTACCGGGGCAGGGCTGAGGAGTCAGGATGGCTAGTTTGAGCCCCACCTAGGCAACACAGTGAGACTCGGTTGCAAAAAAAGAAAAAGATCGGTGGAAATGTGTCAGCTAGTAACAAAGATGGGCATCCCAGATAATGTAGGCATTCATTAATTCAATGAAGTCTATTTATAGTAGAATCTGAATGGTGTGATAGAACAGAAAAGTTCACTCAGGTGACTTGACAGTGGTTTGTCTATTAGCGCATTCAGTAATACCATAGTGCTGTCTCATGCTAGTTGACCCTGGGTTTTCTAATCTGCTGGCAGTATTCCTGGATTAAGTGCTCTGAGTTCCTTACAGGTATAAGAAGAACCCAGGGAAACATCACAAGCCTCTTACACACTTAATTCTTTCATTTTGCTGAATATCTGCCTTATGTTAAAAGATTATTTATCGATTGAGGATAATTAGAGTTCTTTTTCCATCTTGAGTTTTTTGTTCTTGCACATTTACTGAACACTTGGCCTCTTATAATTTTATGTAAACTATTATAAAGTGAATTTAATTTCAGAAAAACAAGCTTCACATATATATCTAGTCAAAAAAACAGGTGTGATGTCAAAATAGCATGTTAGGGTTTTCTTCCTTTGGTAAGTTTTGTTTTTATTTCTTTTCTACAGGTATTAGCATTTCTATATCATCATCTAAAAACCTATCCAGAAATATACTTCCCCAGCTTGGCTATGTTTTTAATTGTTTACTACTCCCTTTGCTGTTGGGGTGAGGCATCAGGAAACCTCAATGGAGTCTCATAGTCTAGTGGCATATGTCAGCGGATGGGTGACTGTGTTTACTTCACCTCTCATACACCCCCAACCAGAATATCTCTGTGACTGCTGATGAGACATTCGTCTATGATTAGTTTGGTGAATAATTTTTTTAGTCCTTGATGTTCTTAGTAGGCACAGTAACTGCCTTCCTCAGAGCCCAATGAATTAGAGATAATAATATAATTTCTTCTAGTCTAAATTCTAAAATTTGTTTTGCCCGTTCCCTTTACTTTATAAATGAGGAAAGACGCTTAGAAAAATTCTGCATATGACATAGATTTTTTTTTTTCATCTTTCACTATGTTGCCTTTCCTGAATCCCCAGAATTACTGTTTCCAAGAAACTAAAATTACACTAACTCTCAGGCCTATAACTGTTAAAGAATGCCCTCATGGCTTTTCAGTTTAGGTTCACTTATATACCAAACCCTACTAACCTAGGCAGCCAAGATGTAGGACCAAAAAGAAGTAGTAGACATATAACCTAAATCTTTTGTTAATACTTTATATAATACGTTGATTCGCAATTAAGGGAATGAAAAAGCTAATCCAGAGATTAAATGTATATTTCAGAGATTAAATATAAGTGTTAGACTTGGTCTAGAGCCTTGGTATAATCCTTGCAGCTATCTTCTACTACAACTGATGGATGCATATGCCATGTATCTTCAAGGAAAAATGCTGAGGTCTTTCCTTTTACGTAAGCTGAACAGGAAACAGGTGGGCATGAGGCTTCCCGTAAAGTGACACCTTAGATTCTGTTCTAACAAACCTCAAGAATATACCATTATAATAGTCAACAAAGTAAGGAAGCATTTAGTAGACTCTCACATTCAATTGAGGTGTTTGAAAGAAACAGCTTATATGTTAATGGATTCTCTTGATGCCATTATAGGACAGATTCTGAAATATATGAGGATGCAGTAGAACTTCAGCAGTTTTTTATTAGAATTCGTGATGAACTCTGCAAAAATGGAGAGATCCTTCTTTCTCCAGCACTCAGCTATACCACAAAGCATTTGCATAATGATGTGGAGAAAGAAAAAAAGGAAAAATTACCAAAAGAAATAGAGGAAGATAAACTAAAACGAGAAGAAGAAAAAAGAGGTTGGTTTCTTTTCATTATATTAAATATGAAGAAATATTATACTCTATTTTAGCTGTCCTCATAATTAGCTGTTGAGAAGAGTCCTGTCTGTGTGAATTAGTATTGACTATTTCACATTAAGCATGATGAGATGAAAATATTTTTATCAGTTTGGTTATTCAGATTAATCAGATTGAGAGTTACCTGTGTATCTAGGAACAGTTGGTTCACAAGTGTGAGAGCCTAATGTCTCTTCATACTACTGGAAGATGAAACCCAAGGGGTATGGCTAGAACTCAAATGCATTCTCAACATCATTCAGTAGTGTGGCTTTCCTGGTAAGTCCTTTGGGCCAGACAGCTAGACGGTATTTTTGTTGAAAGTTTCATTTTAATTATAATTATATCAACCTAAAATGTTACTTTGAGTTGGTTGCCAGAATTTACAAATATTTTGATAATGAGGAGTTTTTAATTATAATTTTTTTTCTGGTACTGAGAATTGAACCACCCAGGGACACCCCACCTACACCCCCATCCCTTTTTATTTTTTATTTTGAGGCAGGGTCTCATTAAGTTGCCAGAGCTGGCATCAAACTTGTAATTCTCCTGCCTCGGCCGTTTGATTAGAAATTTCGTCATTTTTAATATTTCCATTCATATAGATATTTAGATTTTCTAAACGTTTAGTTAGCTATCAGCATTACTCCTCCTCCTTAGATTTCCCCCCATCCCTTAGGCAAGAAAACAAAACGAATTGATTTGAAGCAAACTCAAGTAAGCGATGGCATATCCAGAAAAGAAAAGAACTTGATTGGTGAGAATAGTAATTTTGCTAGTTTAGGGCAATTTTGCTTCCAGAAGGATATACTCATTCAGGATGATAAAATGAGGGTAGAGGTAGACTCTTTGCCAGCCAAAAATGGATGATACAGAAATGAAAGGAGTCTTTGCAGCTTTGCTGCCTGAGGTTATGATCCATATTAAGGAATGTCCTAGAAGTTTGAAACCCACAGAAGATCTGAGATAAGCTGTCACACATTTGTGACTAACTAGAAAACTATGTATTGGGGCTGGGGATGTGGCTCAAGCGGTAGCGTGCTCGCCTGGCATGCGTGTGGCCCGGGTTCGATCCTCAGCTCCACATACAAAACAAAGATGTTGTATCCTCTGAGAACTGAAAAATAAATATTAAAATTCTCTCTCTCTCTCTCTCTCAAAAAAAAAAAAAAAGAAAACTATGTATGTGTGAGGGAGATGCAAGAACCTGGTTAAGAGCAAAATCCATGGGATGCTTGAAAATTACTGCAACTTTAGATGCATACCCCCACCCCTGCCCCATAATCAGCAAAGGGTAAAACCTTATGGGTTTGAAGTATTTGAGCACAGCCTTCATCTAAATCATTAGCTGACCCCTAACTTTCGAGATATAGCAGCAACCCCTAGTGTCAAGTCCCTTGGTAGACCTAAATAGTAATCTCAGAGGAAAGAAGAGAAAAAAGGGGGAAGAAGAAATATTTGAAGACATAATGATATTTTTTTTATTAGTTGTTCAAAACATTACAAAGCTCTTGACATATCATGTTTCATACATTAGATTCAAGTTGGTTATGAACTCCCATTTTTACCCCAAATACAGATTGCAGAATCACATCTGTTACACATCCACATTTTTACATAATGCCCTATTAGTAACTGTTGTATTCTGCTACCTTTCCTATCCTCTACTATCCCCCCTCCCCTCCCCTCTCATCTTCTCTCTCTACCCCATCTACTGTATTTCATTTCTCTCCTTGTTTATTTTCCCGTTCCCCTCACAACCTCTTATGTGTAATTTTGTATAACAATGAGGGTTTCCCTCCATAATGAGAACAACTAAGAACAGAGCAGGGAGGAAGAGCAGGAAGAAAAGATCAACATTAAACAGATACACTAGGTGGGAGGGAAAGGGAGAAAAAAGGGAAATTGCATAATGATGTTTTTTGATAAAGAACATCACAAGTTCACAAGCTCCAAAGACCCCAAGTAAAATAAACACAAAAAGAACGACATTTAGAACATCATAGTCAAACTGCTGGGAGTAAATCTTGAAAGCAACAAAATGACTCATCACAGACAAGAAAAGAATAATCTGATTAATGACTGCCTTCTCATATAAAATAATGGAGGCCAGAAGGCAATGGTATGATATTCAAAAAATACAGAGAAGAAAGATAAAACTAAATCAAGATTTGTATAAATTTTTTTTAAATGAAGTTGCAATAAAGATGTTCCTAGATAAATAAAAACTAAGAGACTTTGCTGCTGGCAGACCTATACTATGAGACATAAATAAAGAGCTTCAATCCCAGAAAAGTGTTACCAGATGATAACTCAAAACCATAAGAAGAACCGGAGAGCAATGGAAATGGAAAATATGAGGATAAATGTAAAAGACTCTGTGTATAATTTTTTTTAAATTCTGTCTAAAACATTGGATTGTCTAAAGCGGTAATTAGAACACTATAAGGTTATTATTATAACATTTATAGAAGTCATATGTATGACAGGAAGCACAAAGGAAGGGGGCGGGGGATATAGATCAGTGGTAGAACACTTACTTTGTATGTGGAATGTCCTGGCTTCCCTCCCCAGCCTCACCCAAAAATAAATAAAAAAGCACAAAGGAAGAGAAATGTAACTATGTTGGAGCAAAGTTGTAACATTTAATGAAATTAAGTCATAAGTTGCACACACTGGTGCAAGACTGCAATTCCAGCAACTCTAGAGGCTGAGGCAGGAGGATCAAAAGTTCAAAACTAGCCTCAGCAACTTAGTGAGGCCCTATCTCAAAGTAAAAAAAAATGAAAAGGTCTGGGGATGTGACTCAGTGGTTAAGTGCCCCTGGGTTCAATCTCAGGTGCCAAAAGAAAAAAAAAATAAGCCATATAATTTGAAAATTCAGTGTTTATAAAATTAAAGAGATGGTGCTACATTTAGGCATATGGAAATGCCTCAATATCCATGAAACCAACTATAGGAATTAAAATGAATTTCAAAAAAAAACTTAACAGTTATAAAACAAGGTAATAAAAGGAGGAAAAAAAGAACAAAAAGACATAAGACTCATAGATAACAAAGCAAAATGACAAACATAGTAGCAGCAGTAATTCCATTAAATGTAAATAAACTAAGCTTTCCAATCAAATGGAATTTAAAATGTAAGATTCAACTATATACTTTTTGCAAGAGATTCCCTTATATTCGGAAACACAAATAAGTTGAAAAGGAGAGAAAAATGCAGACTGTAACCATAGTTGGAATAGCTGTTAGCGGAAAAAGTAGATTTTAAGAAAAGAAATAATACTAAAGACAAAGAAGGATATTTAATACATATAATGTATATGTCAAACATAGTGTTTCCCTCCTGTAATTCCAGCTACTCATGAGGCTGAGACAGAAGGATTGCCAGGTTGGAGGCCAGACTCAGCAACTTAGCCTGTCTCAGAAATAAAAAGGACTGGGGCCATAGCTCAGTGGTAGAGTGTCCCTGTCTTCAATCCCCAGTACCACCAAAAAAGGGAGGGATGGGGCTTAACATATTAGGAACAGAATATTCTTAAATGTATATACACCTAACAGTGGAGCTCCAAAATACATGAAGAAAAAAGTATTAGAATTGAAAGAAGAAACAGAAATTAACAAGAATATAGTGATTGACAGAACTACTAGGTCAAAAATCAGTAAACATATGGAAGACTTGAATAGCAGTGTGAACCACCTTGACCTGATTTGTCAAACACTACACCAAGTTACTATAGAATACATCTTCTTTTCAATTACATGTGGAATATTATCTAGAATAGGCCATATACTAGGTCATAAAAAGAGTTTTAAAACCAAAAGATTGAAATCATACCAAGTTTGTTCTCCAAATGCAATGGAATTAGATTGTAATTTAGCAACAGAAAGAAATGGGGAGGCGGTGCTTAGAAATTATAAATAACCCATGATTAAAGAAGACATTACAGGTGCAGTCAGAACAATCTTGAAATGAAAACAATATTTTAAAATTTATGGAATAAAGCTAACACTTTTCTTAGAAGGAACTTTATAGCTTTAAATACTTATATTAGAAAGGAAGAAAGATATAAAATTATTAAAAGAGACACAAGCATACCACAATGTAGGTAGGAGGAGAAGAAATAATAAAAAAACAGCAGAAAGCCATAAAGAGAAAACAGGAAATGCCAGTGCTATGCTGGGAAGATATTTGGACGACCTGAGTTATTTCTACCTGCCAAGTTTTGTGTTTTTTTTAAGTTTAGCTGACTCTTTTCCCAGCAATATAAAATCAGAAACAGCTTCTTCTGGCGTTACTCTAAGATATTTCTCAAAGTGTGGCCACTTTACCTTTTTACTTGTACTAACTCAAAGACTATATTTCCCAGCAGTGTGATTGGGTGGTAGAAGTAGGTAAGAAACAGGATGCAGAGTCAATAGTAGGAAGAACTGACTAGGAAAGGCTATAAAAGCAGTATACTCTGAGAGCTATTTTAACAACTTATTTCTTACCATAAAAGAACTACAATCTGCTTCAGATTATCTGTGGTTACTTTATGAACATTAGAAGATGCAGCACACCAGAAAGTTGAATAATGGTCATGAATATCAGCCCTCTTTGTCTTTAAGCCATGAGAGGAGGATTGTTAGCAACAACCAGATAAAAACCGAGGGAATCTAGAAGATTTTACCCTGTTTTGTGTTAACTCCCAGAATGTCTCATACAAGAGTAAGTAAGCAAAGAAAAAGAAACAGAACTTATGGTTAAGTATGGCAGATTATTCACAAATGCCTACTGCTTTTCCTTCTTAAAACACCTCTAAAAGGATGGAAAAGGAATTTTTAAAAAGCATTAAAAAAGACAAACACACAAGTATTTCCATCCCTTAAAAAAATAAATTAATGGACAAGGAGATGGTGGTAACTAAAATTTGGAGGCTGGAAAATTGATGTGTAAGTTGCCAATACTGGTTTCAGTGTCTATAGTAGATAAATCCTTCAAACTGGCCAGTTCCTGTCTCAGAATTGCACAGGGAATAGAACACCAGGTACTTCTAAAAGTGGAAATAACATGTGGGTCTGAAAACAGGAGGACTGGTTGAAAGTCTAAAAGCAGTTGAGCCTTCAGTGCCCCACCTCAGCCCTTCCCAATACTTCAGATTCCAGACAAATCTGAGGGTAAGGGTGAAGAGTAAAAGGAGTAAAAGGATTTATACTAAATAGGGAACCCCTTTGGCCCTTCTAGCTGTTTAGCTCTTAGCATGCTGTCTATCTCTTTTTCCTTTTTTTTTTTTTTTTTTTTTTGTGTGTGTGTGTGTGTGTAGTACTGGAAATTGAACCCAGGGACTCTCTACCACTGAGTTACATCCTTAGCTCTTTTTGAGTCAAGGTCTAGAGAGATGCCCAGGCTGGAATGGAACTTGCTCTCCCTGCTGCTCCATTTTCCAAAGTAACTGTACTTGAGATTACAGGCTTGTGCTACCATACCCAGCAATTAAAAAAAAATAATAATAATAAGTTGTCCATTTTTCTATTAACAGTCTATCCAAGGCAATTTAGACTTTTGTCATCATGCTTCCCCGAAAAAGAGAATTTTTTGTTGTTTTGTTTTTTGGGTTTTGTTTGTTTGGGATTGAACCCAGGGCTATTCCCTAGCTACCCCAGCATTTCCAGTGAGCTACATCTCCCTTTTTTATTTTTTACTGTTTTAATTTTGATACAGTCTCACTAACTTGCTGAGGCTGGCCTCAAACTTGTGAGCCACCATGCATACTTCTGAGAAATTTTCCAGTCTGTTTGCTGCACAATTTCAAAACCACTAACATATTTTTAGGTACTTGTTACTAGTAGTGCCCTTCTAAGAGGTACCAAAACCTCATCTAAATATCCTCAGCTCAGAAGTCCCAAATGAGGCTGTAGATATAAAACATCATGGTACACAGTTCCTTTCTATCTGTAGACCTATACAACTTTGGGAGGGAGCCGCCGGTTTCTTTGCTCTTGAAGGCAATGAGACATGTATAGATATTTCTGTTCAAAAACAGGGAGATGGAAAAAAGTATTACTGATTTCAAGGAATTTTTAAATGCACCTAAACAAATCCCAGTGGGTTTCTAGGACTGAGAACATCCTCTGGCTTAGTACTCAGCCCTTGAAATCCTCCTTTTTCATGAAAGATGCTTGCAACTTGTTAGTTTTATCAGCCTGTTTCCTGTATCTAGAATTTGGGGGTTGTTCAGACTTTTTGTACTCTGTGCCCTTGTCTGTCCATGATATTGTTTTTGCTGGTGTAAAATTCTCAAGAACCTTTTGGTCTACTTTGTATGTCAAGGGATTTGCTTATTCTACTGGTAAGTAACGTTTCATCAAAATTAGCAAAACTGGGGCTTGGGATGTGGCTCAAGCGGTAGCGTCATCTAGCATGCACAGGGCACTGGGTTGATCCTCAGCACCACATAAAATAAAATAAAGATGTTGTGTCCACCGAAAACTGAAAAATAAATATTTAAAAATTCTCTCTCTCTCTCTCTCTCTCTCT